TATAATAGTTTACTAGAGTGTAATTGATGAGTGTCCAAGTAGGTTTATACACCCTTGCTACCCAAGAGTATCGGAACTAAATTAACTGATGGAACATTTATGACCATATATGTATACATGATATATAACTAATATTTAAACGACCTTCGGAGGAGTACCCGATATCCCACCAGACCACATCCAAATCGAGGAAAAGGAAATAGGGTGGACAGCCTTCCTAAGTCTTTTAAACATTTCTTATATAGCTATACATATAGAGGCATGCAATTTATAATTTAAAAGCATAAAGAAGTTTTGTAAATCCGTTGAATAGTCTAATAAAGAATTTGTGACTTGATGTCAGTTTATAAAATGATTGAAAGTATTTTGTTTGATAAGACAGTTTAAGTACACGGAAAACCACTGTTTGAAAACACCTTTGTAGCCGAGTTTGAAAGGAAGCTTACAGTGTGTAAGATAGTTTGATAACGAGCTTTAATCATGTAAAAACGTTTAAGAAAGTCATTTGAAGTAATATGTTTAGTAAAACTGTTAAACTTGTAGTAAATCCATTTGTATACTAGTTATAAATCCCATATGATTGATTTATTAACAACAAGTATCCCAAAATATTGATGTTTTTCGTGTGAAAATAATCATATGTTTGTAGTACCAAAGATGGACACATATACATACAGTATAAGCAGAGTGTTTGATTTATACATACATACATATATATATATATATATATATATATATATATATATATATATATATATATAACAACATTTTTCATTTCAAAAGCTATGATGTTATCGTGATACATTTTGTATACAAAAGTTTCCTATAAGATTTATAAATCACATATGATTCTACTGAATAAAAGTGTATAATAATCTTTATATATAACACCCGATAGTAGTCGAGTATTTAACTTGTATTCCCCCCCTTAAAAGCATAATAAAAGTATTTATAAAACATTTAAAAGTGTAGTTTATAGGGGTATGAACTCACTTGATTGATTGAAGAAAGCGTGACGAAAACCGAGCAGAACTTCTACTCGAGAAAGCGGATCTCTCGAGATTCTCGGGAAATCTCGGGAGTCTCGGGAGTGTAAAACTTTCTTCCCACCTTGGATATGAAAACCGGGCCTTTGGGATGATTCCAAGGGTTGAAACGCAGAGCTTCGGCGCGAGAAAGGAAGGAAATTAGCAATTTTGGCCGGCACCCTCGCATCCTATTTATAGGGGTCTGAGAGGTTGCGTTACGCGGGGCGTACTAGAGTACGCGCTGCGTACTCATGCGTCATGCATGAGCGCATCCTCGATCGAAACATTGGAGCGATGTGGACGAACCGGAGCCTAGCATCCGAGTACGTTGGGCGTACGAGGGATCGGACCGGTGACTCCTTCTTCGGATAATACTACCGGGCTTTAATTTAATTTATATTTAAATTAATTAACAAACTTCAAAAATTCATATCTTTCTCATACGAACTCCGTTTTCGACGTTCTTTATATCCATGCGAAGGTGAGACTACGATCTACAACTTTCGTTTAGACTCCGTCGTCTAGTTTTGAATTTATTTTTACTATTATATTTTTAATAGGTCGGGACAGGAAAAGTCCGTTAAAGTTCCATAACATCTTCATCCGACGTCCGTTTTTGTCGGACTTTTTACCGTTGCGCTAGTATTGTTGAGCCCTTCGATTCTCATTTAGATTGTGTCGGCCAAAAGTCTCTCGATCTCTATTTCGAGTTTTTAGCTGTCTACAGCTATATCTGTAACTTAGAAAAATCACAACTTCCTCATACGAAGTAAGATTTGGACGTTATTTTTATGTACGTTTATGGTTTGATGATATCTAAAACTTTCATTTAGATACCTAAGGCCAAAAACTATTGTATTGAAACTTCGCGTTTTACGTTTATCAATATTGCGGGTTTTGCCGAGAATCTTCGGTTGGTCATAACTTCTTCGTTATAACTCGGATTTTAGGGTTTTTTATATGTATGAAAACCTTGACACGATTCCTACTACTTTATTTAACCCAAATAAGATTTTTGGAAAGTTAAATTTTGACCTAAATTTGACTTGCGTTCCATCATATTGCCTCGAAATATCGGGTTGTCACAATGTTTCTAAATGTGTTGAGGCCAAAGCCACAAGATCGGACGATGCCAAAATGGTTATCGAGTTTTTGAAGTCTAATGCTTTTGTGAGATTTGGTGTGCCTAGGGCTTTGATTAGTGATAGATGGACGCACTTTTGAAACAAAATGATGGAGGCTCTACTGAAGAAGTACAATGTGACCCATCGTGTCTCTACCGCCTACCACCCTCAAACAAATGGTCAAGCGGAGGTCTCGAATCATGAAGTGAAGTCTATTCTAGAGAAAACGGTGAATCCGACGAGGAAGGATTGGAGCTTGAGACTTGACGATGCCTTATGGGCCTATCGGACCGCTAATAAGACCCCGATTGGAATGTCGCCCTTCAGATTAGTTTTTGGAAAATCTTGTCATCTTCCCATCGAGTTAGAGCACCGAGCATTTTGGGCGGTCAAGAAATGCAACTTCGACATTGACGAGGCGGGAAGGCATAGGAAACTTCAACTCCAAGAACTAGAAGAATTGAGAAACGAATCCTATGAAAACACAAGGATTTATAAGGAGGAAACGAAGCTCTTCCACGACAAGTCCATCACCCGGAAGAATTTTGAACCGGGACATAGGGTCTTACTTTACCATTCACGGTTGAAGTTATGTCCGGGGAAATTAAGATCAAGGTGGATTGGCCCATTTGTTGTAATAAAGACTTTTGACCATGGAGCGGTGGAAATCCAAAGTGAAGAAACGGGACAAAATTTAAAATTCAATGGGCACCGATTAAAGCCATTCTATGAAGGTTTTAATGCAAGTGTTATTGAAATCATCCACTTGGATGTCCCGGTGTGTTGAACCAAGCTAGAAGGACGTCTCGCCTAAGACATTAAAGAGAGGCATTTTTGGAAAGCTTTATGCTTTCATCTTTCTACGTTCGAATAAAGAAGTTTTGAAAATGTTTTGATGCATCTTTTGAAGAACTCAATAGTTTCTAGGTCTCCGGGGCCTTCCGAATCAAGAACTAGTGAAGAAACGGAAGAAAACAGAGAAAAATCGAGAACCGGGACAAGAACCATGCGCGACCCGCGCACGGGTGCGTGGCTGGTGTCCGCGGCCAGCCTTCAACTTGAGACATAAAAAGAGAACCTAACTACATAGGTTGCGCGACCTGCGTGCCCCCTCTGCGCGACCCGCGTGCTTCCCTGACGACCAACCCCTATTTTGCTCACCAGCTTTGACTTTCGTTGACCAGGTGGTTTAATGAGCTGACCAACATTGACCGGGTGTTGACCACACTTGAAAATGGATTAAAAACCTCCAGCAACTCTTCTTCCTCATTTCATTCTCTCAAAAACACACCATTCTCTCTCAAACTCTCAAGAACACATAAACCCACTTTTCACTAAAAATCGATTTCCCGGAGTTCTACCTGTCGGAATCCAACGAGACCACCGCCATTCTTCACCATTTTCCGAGCTCTACAAACCCCACACAAACTTTACACTGATCCATTACCGGGTTTAGGGGTGCCACCACCACCCATCTCGCTGTTTTCTGGCCATTTTCCGACCAACTCCGGCCACCTCTCGCAATTTCGACACCACCAAAGTGTTTCTCTTTCAAAGCTCTTTACATCTAACCGAACAAAACCTCTAAATATCTCCAAAAAATTTCCCGGGATTTTTGAGCCACCACGAGCCGCCACCGGATTTTTCACACAAATCAAGTTAAAAATATTCCTTCAGTGAACAAGTCTTGCATTTTGGCACCCACGAATAACCTCAAAGCTTGGGGTGCATGGTAGCGGATTTCGGGTTCAAGTTCAATTTTTGGACAATTCGGGTATTTTCTTTCCTTGGTTTTTATTACATTGCGTTCTTTCAATTCGATTATTGCATCCCATTATGTTTTGGAAATTGCCTAGGATCGTTAGTTCTTGCCCGATATATTTGGAAACATTGATTTGAGAATGGTTGAGATTGGTTGATTTGCTTGGAAATTTGTTCAAAAATTGTTTAAACTTTGGTTGGGATTTTGTCATTTTGTCTCGTAATGCTGCTGAATTTTTGTTGGGATTGTCAAACTAACCGAGTGGTGTTGTTGAAACCATTTTAAGTTGTCAAATGTTCGGTGCCATTATTTCTCGGGATTTTTGTGTTCGGTTTAAAGATAGTTGCATTGAGTTGAGAGTGGTGAGGTGAGGGATTACGTTGCTGAAATTGTTTTTGATATTGTAGGTATTGAAAATGGGAAAAACCGCATCTCGGACACGCACCCATGGATCATCGATTGATCCTAACCTGCACAAGGATGTCGCCGGTCGATCATGCAAAGCAGCCGGTAAACGAAAAAAAAGGAGAAGAGGGAAGCGATCCTTCCCTTACAAATGCTGAAATCAAAACCTATCGCTCCAAACTTCGGGGCCGCACAATCCGGCCGACAAAATTCTACCATAGAAGGTCCATGAAAAAGCTTGGGGTGCATGATGGTGTATACAAGCTGTTCCTACAATTGGGTTGGCGTGGTTTTCTTCGACTTTGTGACAGAACTTACGAGGAACCCACAATAGAATTTCTTACCACATATGCACGAGACGATGCAGCGAAAGTCCTCAGATTCCAGTTGAACGGGGAGCATCATAGGCTCACATACGAAGAGCTTGATACCATCATGGGTATAGATGATCCATTCCGCATCAGCACCCAAAATCAAGAGTACCATGATTTTCTACGTAACCCGGATGCACGCTTTTGGATGCAGATTTTCGATCTCACTACCTTCAACCCGAGCCGACAGCGTGCCAAGCACATTGTTCACCCCTGCTAGCGAATTGCTCATCAAGTTCTCACGACAAGCATCTTCGGGCGTCTCGAGCCTGGTCAAATCAACAGATGTGAGCTATTTTTCCTCCGAAGCATGAGGCGTGCACTCCCCCTCAGTTTTTCAAGCTTTTTTTTAGACAAATGTGACTCCATACGCCAGCGTTCCACAGGGGAAATTTTCATCGGGGGACTTATCACGATGATAGGTCGAGCCATCGGCCTAGACTTCCCGGATCCCGAGTACATACCTGTCGAAACCCCACTGAACTTCCTGCTAGACTGTGATGCTCTCATCCGGATGGAGATGTTGCTCGATCGGGGAACCCTAATGTACAGTTGGTTAGACTCTGACAAAGCCCCGGTTTACATCCTGCCAAGTTGGATTGGTTCTTCATTCGACACAGGCGACCCCGACACTTGGCTTCCTCCAGATCAATTGACCCAAGCAGGTGTATTCCCAGAATTCGGTGATGATGAGGGTGACGACGCAGAGGAACAAGAGGAAGAAGATGATGAAGAGGATGACGAGATGCCCGAAGCTGAGGACTATTTTGACCAGCCTTCGATGCAACATCCGACGTTTCAACATGACCAATTCCAGGCTCCTCCACAACGTTTTGACCATCCACATCAGCACGGGGGACACGAAGTCCCACCATATTTCCCCCCTACGTTCTTTGACCAATTTTCCATGATGGTCTCCACGGTGCAGCGCATCGACACCCAAACGCAAGAGAATACGAGAGCCATCCAAGATGTTGCGAGTCGTGTTGATCGATTGGAGCAGTCATTCCCACCCACTTCCCGCCAGGTCCAGGATATGAGGGACTACCACTATCGTCACGGGCATTTCCCGCCGCCCGACCCTCCGATTTAGGTCCTTTCCGCCCTTTCCTCAAGCGTTGAGGACAATTCTTGTTCTTAAGCTTAGGGTGGGGCATTTCCCTTATCTTTTACTTTTTCATGAATTTTTAACTAGGTTGTATAACATTTTGGTTTTAAGCTAATTTTCATTCATTTTTTTATTTATATAAAATTCCAAAAAGATTTTATTTTCTTCTTTTTCACCTTTTATATTTTTGCATAACATTTAGCTTAGGTTATTAGCATTCATGCATTTTTGTTGTCTGTTTATTCTCACCTCTGAGGATGTCATGGAACAGGTTCATAGTTATTGTATCATTATTAGTCCAGGATCTTGTTGCTATCTCACCCATCGAACCGAGACCATTAGTTGCAGTTTGGGATTTCATACTTGGGATCAGATCTTGGTAGCTTACAGGGGTAAGTGATCATGGACAGGTAGTTTTCATGAAGAATTATGCATACAATACTAATAACTGTAGGTTATACTATAGCAATGGATGTCTTAGCCTTGCAGTCACTACCGCCGAGAGGAACACACTTGATCATGTTTGAACCGTTAGGATGAAGCACTAGTGCTTGTCCCCGAGTAGAATCCATATCCGGTCTCTTTACATCTCCATATCTTTTTGCGATTTTCTTAGGATTTTGGACAAGTCTTTTAGTCCGCACGCGGACATTTTCATGTGTTTAAAATATTAAAAAAAATTATAAGTTTGAAAAGGAGTTACATTACATCTTTATGCTCCACACATGGTCATTTTCTCGCTTAGACCATTTAGATTATATTACTACCCTTTCGGTTCCACTTACACACTTTAGGAACCAAATTTTGAGTCAAAGGGTTGTTATTTAACTTCAAGTACGGAAAAAAAATTAAATAAAAAAAAACAAAAAGAAAAAGAAAAAAAAGGGGGGGGGGCAGGCAAATTCCTAGCTGCAGAAATCTGAGAAGGGTGATCGGTTCAATTATTGAACTACATTCTTTAACATTTTGGTCACCCGGCCTTTGATATTCATTTATTTTGGTATGTTTTATTGTATATAGATCGAGTTGTTTTTCGCAAATTGGTGATGTTAGGGAGACTGTCGAGTTGGATACTACGGGAGGTTTGGGCCAACACCAAGTGAGCCGATTCCTACACCGGTGCCCGAGCGATTAAAACCTAGTTACACATGAGAGAAAACGGCAAACATGAGACCAGAGTGCACATTTAAAGAAGAGCTCCACCCGAGCCCATCTAGCTGCTTTCTCCCTACTATAGATATTCTTCATTGTATGCATGTTCCATTGTGGCTGCGACAACTCATCCCTCCTTACTCACCTAAAGGAGTTGTCCTGGCTGTGGTTTATGGTTTCGTTGTCATCGGATGAAAAAGTTATGAGATAATAGCAAGATAAATTCTGACCATGTTGACTAACGGTGATCAGGTTCCGTGCTTCTATCCATTCTTTTTATTTTCTTAGGATAGTTCATCCCGAGTTCATTTTAGTCTTGTCTTACTTGAGAACAAGTAAGGTTTAAGCTTGGGGTGATTTGATAGTTAGTTTTATTTACTTCTTTTTATAGTTTTTTTTAGCATATTTCATTCATAATTTAGATAATTTCCATGCATATTTTCCATTTTTGTTATTTTATGACTATTTCGGGTACTTTCGAATCTTGTGAGCATAATTGTAGGTTTTCGGCTCTAGCGGAGCGCGAGTGTTCGGGATGTATGGGAAGCGATGGGATTTGGTAGACAAAAAGGATGTTAGGCTTGGTGATTGTGGAGATGATGCATGGAGCGAGTTTGATGACTATTGGAAGGCTTGGAAAGAAATAAACTTTAAATGTGCAAGATGCGGGAGTTTATTCAAGCATGCGTAGATTGTTAATCGGGAAAGTGCACGAGCTTTGGAGGAGTTGGAGAGGTCAAATTGGGCTTAAAATGAAGAAAAACTTGAAGAAAATGGGATAGGAGGTGATTGGATTCGTTCTGGGCCAAGTGGGCTAAGCTATGGAGGCCAAAAACCTCAAAGATGCTACATCCAGGGACCACCTGCGCAACCCACCCGTGCAACAGCATGCGGGTCGCGCAACCCCCTGCAGGGGCATTTCCGGGAATTAATGTTTTAAGCAATATGGGGAACATTGGTGCCTATCTTTTGCACACTCTTGGACATCCGATTTTGGAAGATTCTCACTGGAGTTTTGAAGACTTTTGAAGGCCAAGAACACCTCAAGAACATCATCTTTTTACCTCTTGATTCTTGCTTAATGTTTGATACAATCTTCTTTAACTTTGTTTCTTTGAGTTTAGCCATGCTTGGTTAAACTAATCTTGGTTGACTTTTGTTGAATCCTTTGAACTTTTGTTAAATGTTGAAGAATCCATGAGCTTGTTCTTAAATCTTTATGGAAATGTTTTCTGTTTTATCATATTATCCCTACTAGTATGTTTTTATTTCATGTGTTTAAATGTGTTTGTGGTGATTAGTTGGATTATTTCTTGATTAAGTAAATGATCCTCAAATTAGCAAGCAACAAATGATTTTTGTGTTGTTTTTGCTTCACACAATCATAAAAACATTTCTTCCAACATGTGGTGAAAGCATTTGACCCCTCTTGGATTTGGTGACTTTTTGGTTCTTAATGCTAGTTGACTTTCACTAATTACATGCTTAATGGAAATTGTGACTTTAACTAAGGAAATTGTTATGAGCTTCTCTAACCATTTTAACAACTAGGAAAAGTCTAGGTAATCTCAAGCTTCTTGGATTACTATAGCCAAATTGAGGATTTAAAACAAGTATTGCACCATTGAATTCTAATGATATGTTCATCAAAAGTCAAAGTGAGGAAACCTTAAGTCAACCATCCTTTTCTTATTGATTTACATTAAATCTTGTTTTTTTTTTAAATTGTCAATTTAAATAATAGTTTAATTCTAGTTTGTTTCAAGTACTTCAAAACACCAAAAACCCCCCAATTTTAATTTATTGTCATTTAGCAAGTATTTTTACAAAGAGATCTTTCATAGAGTTATAAATTGAACCAATCTCCGTGGATTCGATCCCTTTACCACTATACACTATTTTAGTGTGTAATATTTAGGGTATTAATTTTGTTGGCCTCGACAACCACCAGGTTCATTATTGATAGATTGACCAAGAGTGCACATTTCATACTGATTGCTAAGAGCATATATGTTGAGAAGTTAGCTGACATTTATGTTCGGGATGTGGTAGTTCGACACGGGGTACCAGTTTGGGTGGTTTTGGACCGGGATGTTCATTTCACCTCCAAGTTTTGGAGAAAGTTTCATGAGGAATTGGGTACTTAGCTTCATTTTAGTATATCATACCACCCCCAGACTGATGGCCAAAGCGAGCGAATGATTCAGACGATTGAAGATATGCTCCGAGCTTGTGTACTAGATTTTGGAGGGAGTTGGGATACTTACCTTCCACTGTACGAGTTCTCTTATAACAACAATTATCATGACAGTATTGACCGATCACCATTTGAGATGTTGTATGGAAGGAGGTGCAGGATCCCAGTTTGTTAGGAGGAGGTTGAACAACGGGTCATAGGGAGTACTGAGGTTGTACTCAAGAACACTGAGTTGATTCAGCAGGTACGCGACAGCTTACGAATCACACAGATCCGACATAAGAGTATGCAGATCAGCGACGTTCAAATCTCAAGTTTCTGGTATGAGATTTGGTGTTTCTGAAGGTGCCACCTTGGAAAGGTGTCATTTGATTTCGGAACGGGGAAAACTGGGCCCTAGATTCATTGGACCTTTCAATATATCCTCCGGGTGGCCAAGGTTGCATACCGGCTAGATTTTCCTGATGAGCTCAACCAAATCCACAATACCTTCCATGTCTCTCAGCTTTGAAAGTATGTGGTTGATGACTCCGTGGTTGTCCCCTTGGATGATATTCAGGTTGATGATAGACTTAATTATATCGAGAGACCAGTGGTGATCTTGGATAGGAAGAAGAAGGCCTTGTGCAACAAAGTGGTTTCTTTGGTCAAGGTCCAATGACAACATCAAAAGGGTTCAAAATGGACCTGGGAGCTCGAGGCGGAGATGCGTGAGCATTACCCTGATTTATTCACGACATCGGACTTCGAGGACGAAATCTAGTTCAAGTGGGGGAGAGTTGTAACATCTTGTTCTTCCAGGTATTTACCTTTTTTTCCCTTATTATATGATTGTTTGCAAAGTGGCCCTTCATGGAATTTTTGCATTTTTTTGGAGAAATATGGGTACGTTGGGCGTACCTGGTCTCGCGTGAGTACATTGGGCGTACATTGGTACACAAGCCGTACGTGACTTGGACCAAACCATAATATTTAGGGGTTTTGTACTATTTAAACACCCTAATATCCCCAAAACCCTTCCTCTTATCAGCCTCCATCCCTCATATCAACCCCCTTGCAAACCCGAACCTATTTTGAGCATTTTGAGCTTTTGAGTGAGTTGTGGGCATTTTTTTCTGAAGGAAGATCATTAAAGAAGTGGTTTTTCTCTCAAGTCCTTGGATCCAACATTTTCTCTTCATAGTGCAACTTTTGGAGGCATAAAGCATCAACCTTGATGCATGTTTCTCTAGATCTTGGTTAAGCTTAGAATTTTACCCCCTTTTATCCCAAAACCTAGGTCTGTGTGAGTATGAGGTACTCCAAAGCCTTTAATCTTTCCTTTCATACATTTTAGGGTATTTTAAGTCATAAAAATACAAGCTTGGATCTTGGTTTGTCCCCATGCAAAAGTTGTGGTGTGGCAAATGATTAAATAAGTTAGGTTTTTAGTGTTGGGCTCCTTGTAGCCATGCAAAGGCATAAAGTTTGCAAATTTATGGCCTTCGAGGTTTTAATAAACTCATATATGAAGTTTGAACGAAAGGTCTTAAGCCATTAAGACCGTAATGAGAATTTTGATCCAAGGTGCATCCATCGAGCGTAAAGTTATGTACGCTGCGTGTACTAGACCTCGACCCAGATATCCCTCTTGCAT